TAGGGTAGTGGTTTTAGGGCAATAAATTGCTATATTATTATATTATTAAACAATATATATATCGAAATCCTCTTAAGTGCTATATTAACCAAGGGATACTTAACACATTTTTAGGTTTTAAAACTTAAAATATTATGAGTCTTTGAAGAACTGAAAATCTATTGAAAAATTAAATGAAGGAGAATAGCTCTATGATTTCTTAGGCACTTGGGAAAATATAGAATAGAAACTTGTTGATATTTCTAATAATAGCCGCTATACTCTCAGTGAGAGAACAACAAACAGCAGGGGTGGTCAGACCTTCATCAGGGGTGGTCTAATGAAAGATTCCTGCAAGACAGCCATAAATCCACAATTATGAATCTAGATATATGGGGCCAACAACTAGATAACATTACCAGTTTTGTGTGTTAAATAGGCTCTCTTTATAGTATTATATTGTATTTATGAATAAATGTGTTTCACTGCATTAGAGAAAATGAATTTATGTGCATAAAAGGAAGAAATAATAAGAAATAAACTTTTACCAATAATTTTATTTTTTTCTAAAATGTCACTTTACCAACTTGATCCTTCAATACAACTCTCTCATCCATTATTTGAAATCCCACGACAAACGATAGCCTCCTAATGGAGAATAAGAACAAAAGTGCAGAGCACAAATGAATGATAAACTTTTTAATTGATAAAGTCTAGAAATAGTATCCTCCAAACAGAAACAGATTTTCAAAAGACTAACAAATGATCCAATTGCATCAAAACCAACTGTTCAATAAAAAAAATCAATTGTTCAATGGCATTGCTGAACCCTCCCACTACAAAAGGGTGATGGATTCATCCTAAAATTATAAAATAGACAATGAGCAATATGTAAACCTAATTTCTTTAAAATAGTTTGTTATCTGAAAAAAGTATAATATTAATGAAATATTCATTTTCTCCAAGGTATGCAGAAGTATAATGATTATGATTTTATAAATAATAGAAAATATTGATGAAGCAATTTAAAAGATATCACAATAAAGGGTAGGTATATTTACATGAGGTGAAAGCAATGATCGATATTAGATGCATGCCCATGCAAAACACAAAATACATAGGATCAGATATAAAAAATAAACCAGTTTCCAAATATGTTTGATTTCATTGTTAACCATAATTCTTTTTAATATTTAAATCTTAAAGAAAACATCCACATAAATGAATAAGTTGGTTGCTTTAATAAGTTATGTCTATGCTTGGACACAACAAACACTTTGAATGCGACCATATTTATTGCTATTCCTTTCCAATAGAGCTCCTCTCCATTCAACAAGACCTTGCTCCGGCTTGTGTCTGCCAGAAGAACTATACTGTCAGTGTATAGAAGGTTCTGGACAATGATAGGAGACATGTTCCATCTGCCGATTAGCGTTGGGGATATCCTCCTCTTAGACATAAATAGAAGACAACTAAGGCTATTGTCCTGTTTGACTTCTTTAATCCATCCAGAATGTATCTTTCTTTCTCTCATTAAACTGCACCACCCTTTTTTGCTTTTACTAAAGTAGTGAACTCTCCTGAGACATTTCTAATTTACAGAGCTTCATTAAAATTGTTACAGCCGTTTTGGCACTATAGTCTATAACCACATGTGTTTTTCGGCTATCATTACTAAATTAAAGGCTAACGAAATGTATATAAAACGACTCCTGAATTTGATTGCAACGTTGAATCAAAATTTCAAAGTAATCGGTGAAGAACTTTCAGAGGGATTTTGAACAAACTAGCGTTTATATTTTAATCCATAAATAATGTTTCCAAAAAATTATTATTGATAACACTACACCTCGTCAACAGCTACTAAACAAAAAAGAAAAAAAAAAAAGAAAAGAAAAAAAAAGAAAAAAAAAAAAAAGAAACTTGGTTGAGAAACAGAGGAGAAAAAGGTACTGAACCGTTTTATCTTTGGCTATTTGATGATATACAGACGAAAGAGAATCATCAGCCCTTAATTTTTGCATTCTGTTCGCTGCAGTTCTTAGAAATGGGAACATGGATGCTAAAGTTCCAATCTTATGGTACCCTTCCATTTTGAAACAGCCCTTGAACAGCTTTTAGTAATTCTAGGGCTCCATATTTGATGAATTCTGGGACAACGCCACCTCTTTCTAGGACATTCTCCAATTTCACTTTATCTATGGTATTTGCTATGGTCTATGGCCTTCTTTCGGAAAGAGAACCTTGCATTTTACAGTAACAGACTTTCCATTTTTCATGCAATTCTTTAGTATAAGAAATTATATCGCCATTCTTGTCTTTGATGGTTCTAATAGGCTACTTATGTATTCATTACGACAAATCTTCATCGAATTTCTTTTAAGTTCTTCTTTTGGTAATCTGTACCAGTATCTTACATTCATACTTTGTCCTATACTCAACCAGTTTTCCCTGGGATTTATGTTTTAGGAATGATAACTTAGTATCAATAATATATATGTTATACACTAAAGATACTTTTGCTCCTAGGCCAGTAAAGGATAAAGTTGTCACAGACATTTCATTGTTTACAGTTTTTTCAAAATGAATTAAATGAATAATGAGACAATGTCCAGTTTTTATTTTTACTCTAATCAATTTTTGAAAAGTGGTCTATGATGCATGCTGGACATATACAACACCAAGTACAAATATTGCTAATAAAAATGGCTACAGAAATTAACAGAATGATACTAACACTTGAAAATTTGTATTCTACAAAAATTAATGAATAAAATAAAATTCAATAATTTATTTATTTTATTTTTAAACATGCCAGAAAATAATCATTAACAACATACAATATACCTATCAAGCCTTACACTTCACAGGAAATATATTTACTTTGCATCAGAACATAGATAAAATAAAATAAATTGAAAAAAAAAAAACCCAGTACATAAGTTATATTCTTACCAGCAGTCACAGTAGTCAATGAAGTGTATGACCTAGGAGCTCCTTTTTATTTTTATTTTATTTTATTTTTTTTTTGTTAATTTTGGTTTTTTTTTTTTTGTTAATTTTATGTTTGGTTTTTCAGTTTGGATGTTTCATTAGTTTTTGTGAATTAGTGCAGGGGAGCAAGACATGTAAAGAGTGCAAATGTAAGAAAAAAAAATAGAATAATATAAATAACTTAAAATTATTAAAATAATTAGGAAAATAAAGCTTCAAATCAATAATATATAGGTATAAAAACAAAAATAAGTATAAGTTAGTATAACATTTGATATTACTTAATTTAAAATACTAAAAAATATGATTTACAAGAAGAAATGAGTAAGAATGTTTAATTAAATACTACTAACGAAATATAACTCATTTATTCAATATGAATTTTAATCATGAAGAAATTTATTCAGTAAACATATAAAACATCAGTGCTACTTAGTTCTCTAGAACAATGAAAGGAGATGTGGAAACATGGAAACATCAACCATGCTTAAATTACTTCATGAACTCTAAACATACAGCTTTATCAAGTAAACAGGCAATAGCGTTTAAAATCAACCACTTATGGATTGATATAAAGGAACTTTTCAGAAAAAAAATTTAATCAAATGGTAACATCTTAATAGTAACAGCAAGTAACAATTATAATAAAAAAGAAAATCTACATTCTAAAAGTAACACTGACATAATTTAAATTAAAATACTAGAAGAAACTATTATGAAATCTAAACTAAACACAAATTTAAATTAACAACTGTAAACAACCTTTCACAAAAAAAATATCAAAGGTACATTGCCGCAGAATGCATACAAACATATCTCCTCTGATAATGATTAAGCATTTTTTATTTTATGTCTGTAGAGTTTAAGAATATTCATATTCATATTTACATTCCACTAAAATACTCTAGAAATTTAACAACTATAATAAAATTTAAAATGGAAAAGAATATTGAATTATAGTAACAATTGAGACAATTTTTTTATTTATCAATGATAAGCCTAAAGGAAATAAATCCAAAAAAGTGATTTGTTGGTTGAGATTTCTGGGAATCGATGAATGATTGAGTGATTCTTAATGTGATATAATTATTCACACTGGTTTCCCAAAGATATCATGAATTTTGATTAGAATTTATAGCATTACAACTTATACCCAGTCAGTAATTTATTAATCCAATCTTAACCCAAGTAATCCAGCCCTAAAAACTGAAGATATCAGAACAAGAAATTCACTACAAAGCACCTATAGTAATTCATTTTTCCTTAAGGAGGCTAAGAAGCTCACTATGACCAAGGCACTATGCTTCTATCTCCGGGAGCTAGGTTTAAATACAGGCTGTGGCAGAAAATAATTTATTTTCTTTAATTATTTATTTTATTAGCCGTGGATAGACCTGGGGTCAGGAGACCCTCCTGTATAAGGTGGGTAATACCCTTGCTCGATGGAGGAACAAAACCTGTTGGCTGAGTGTGTTCCTGGCCAAACACCTGTTTGCACAACAATCTTAGCTTGAAAACAGTACTCCTTGTCAAGCACTGAATCCAAGACACTTTATGAGTTGTAATAGTCTAGGCTTTTTTTTTTTCCTCCTCTCATCTTAATTTGATGTATTTCACTTATTGAGTAACCTTGTAATACACCAAAATTTATCAGAAATTTTATTTTATCTATTCCATTGATAAAAATTGTTTTTTAATACTACAATTGATAATTACCAACATTCTGGACTGGTTACACTTAACCATTTCTTTTTAAAATTTAATTAATTGCAAGGAAATTGCATACATTTTGTATGTGAAGTTTAGTATCTGCAATATATTTTGAAGTTACAAATTTATCAGTCAAATGCAAGGGACTGAATCAAATTCTACTTGAATCTTGGCAAATTTCTGTAGTTAAAAAATGATATAATTTAAAAAAAAATGTATTCCTAAAACTTAAAAAAAATCTGTATAAAGCAGATAGTTATAATAAGCATGTATATCTATTGAATATTTTTGATATATATGTACATATATATACTGACCTGTTACAGTAATGTAATGACCAGGACTTGATTCTGGTCCTTGAATACCTTCTTCAGAATTCCCGCCAGAAGACAAAACACCACCTTCTTCCTAAAACAAAAAAGAAAAGAAAAAATATCATGAACGAATGAACCTCATTACCAAGGTATTATGTATTTTACATTTTTGTCTAAAAAAATTATGAAATTTGTTTTTTCATACAATGCTTACATGAGAAAATAAAATATAACCTTAAAATGAACAAAAGTCAGAAAAAAAGTAATTAAGTTGGAATATAAAAATATGAGTGAAGTTCACACGACTTTGATATTTAAGGAGGAATTTGAGACCACGACGAGATAGTTGAACTTCAATAGAAATAAACACAATCACAAATAAGACTTTTTTATTTTTTTTTAAAGAAAAAAATTAATTAACAAATTAAAAATTAATTTAAATTTACTGAAAATTATACGAAATCAAAGTAAGTGTCATGCCAGTAACATTTGGAATCAACCAAACAATACAGTATAAATTAACTTTTTGAATAAAACCTAAAATTTTAATAAAAATATTGTATTTACCTAACTCTCACTCCATGCCTTTCACATTTCACAGCCAGCCATTATATCATTTTTAAAATTTTAAAACCACATTTTTCAAATTTTCTCGAAAACGGCTCCAACGATTTTGATTAAACTCTGTGCATGAATGTATAATTATGTGGTCTTTAATATTATTTAGATCCTATCCTCATTGATGTCACTTTACAGGGCTTAAATTCCCAATGTTCAACATATCTTCCTTTAAAGTATCTTTAATTTAGTTTATTTTAAATAATTAGCTACTTCTCATTGATATAAATAATGAAAAAAGGCTAAATATAAGTTTTGAAAGAATTTGATAATTGAATAAAAGAGAAAACAGGAAAAATACTTACTTAGGATGGAAAATGAATGTTCGGAAATAATAGTCAGAAGTTATAAGTATAATATATCATTGGAAAGAGGAGAATTTTAGAAAAAAAAAACAATATATAATATAGAAAGTCATAGAAAGTAATGGAGAATGTAGACAAAAATTTAAATAATAATTTTTGAAGACTATTATAATTTAACGGATCATGTGTTTTCAAGGAAATTAAATGAAATTTACTAACTAAATGTAAACTTTTAAATGTGTGAAAAAAGTATTTAAGATCCACCTAATCAAGGCAATGACCATTGTTAAAAAACTATTTTATCGTACTTGTGTGAAAGAAGAAATGAAATATAAAAATATTTCATGGATGTGTAAAATATATTTTTATAACCTTAAATACATTCACTATAGCTTAATAATTCTAGATCTGATATTATGTTTAAATAATTAGGTATCAATGTCCACTTATTCCAAAAAACTGTCATGTAACATTTTAGAAAATTAAATTAGAGAATAATTCGATGAATTTTCCCTTTGTGAAATCCAAATATTATTCACTTAAAATTAGTGTGACAACTTAAACCTATCTATTGCAGGCAATGAAAATCTCATGATTTCATTTTAGTAAACTTAAAAATCTCATGATTTCATTTTAGTAAACTTTACTTAATGGGCAAACAATCCACAATCATTTATAAGTTGAATATACAGATACGCTTCCAAATTTCTCTAAGCATATACCTAGATATATAGATCAGAGACTGGAGTTATGTGGTTTACAAAAACAGATGGAGTAACGAGGTTTTTATTGCCTAACGATGACATAATTAATTAATTTTTGTTATTTTAATGGTGTAAATGATTTGTTAGCTGTAAGCTTTAGGCTGTAGTTCCCTTAAAAACGCACTTCAAAAATTTTATAAAAGTCCAACTTTGCTTGAAAAAAAAATTCTATTCAAAGTAGAGCGGTAAGTGAAAGTTGTGTGTTCCGCGCACCAAATTTTTTTTTGTGTGAAATTTAAATCTTGAATTTCATGTGAAATGGAAGATAACAATAATTATCCATGTATGCATGTATGTATATCTATAGTTTTACTTAATTTGAAATTAGATTAATTTTATTCCATAATTTATTTTGGCCCATGGTTTACAACTTATTCTTTCGTAAACGTGATCAACCTAGGATGAATTACTTAATTATAAGTAAATTTGTACTCCAACTCAAAGATAAAAAGTAAGACATACCTAGCTTGATATGAGACTAATTCAGCTAAGTGAGAGTTTTTTATTTATTTAAACAATGAATTAAAAAAAAAAAAAGTTGTTAATTTTAACTTGATTTACTAGTATGAAATTTATTACTTCATTCATATAAACAGAAGATTTCACTGAAAGTTTTAAACATTAGCCATTTTAAAATGTTGCATCCAATTTTTGAATTTAAAGCAACAATATGATGTTTCTATTTTGAGGCAATAAATGATAAAAACTAATGTATTTATTTATTACCTGTATGGAAGGATGAGTTGTTACAGTTATTGAATGAGATGAGTCTACAGAATTTTCTGGGCTTAATTGAACACTTACTGCTGGCTGGCTCACCTTTAAACATTATCGTTTACATTAATACTAAAAAATAAAAAAAATTGATAAAAATAACAATATATAATTCAATAATTTGATGTAAAGTAGCAAGTGTCATGGCCGCAAGTGCAGTATAACTTTCATGTCGCTCTGTATTTGTTGCTTTGTAATGTGCTCAATATTCAAAGTTGTGGTGTAATACTTAATCAACAGTGAGTTAATAAACAGTTTTACACTTTTACGTTGACGTACACGCAGGTGAGGTACTATTTATTAACAATAAACAATTGATAAATTGGTGCTCATTTGGTTAGATTGAGAGGCCGTTAATTCCCTTACGTGCCTTATCATACTCCGATAAGTTCACGGCCAGAGGCTCTGTTTACTAACTTCCTTCAGTCATCAGGTCTTCAGTTCGAACCCAAGACATTATATTTACGTTTCCTTATTTTTTTTTCTTTCTTTTTTTTTTTCTTTTCCAGAGACTGTTTTATTTTTATTTAAATATTTATTCTAAGAAATGTTTTATTTTATTTCTGATTATAGTTATGTATATAGTTTATTTTTTAATAGCTTATTTCGTAATCTTCAATCTTTTTAATTATCATATTTAGGAGTAAATATATATATTTTTTTCTCTCTTTTATCATAATATGGAAGATATGAATTTAGATAAGAGTTCGTCAGGTGAAGATTCGGAGGACGAAACGCCGTTTTCTGAGGTTAGCGAAACAGATTCGCAGTATTTAAAAAGACGAACACTTCAAAAACGTCATCGAAACACTCCTCCTGGGTCGGGAGCTAATTCACCCAATAAGAAAAAAAATAAATCAGCTAAACCTAAACAGTTAGCAGAGCAAAATAAATCTAAAAAGTCAACTGAACAAAGTAAATCTACTAAAACTAAACAATCAGCCGAGCAAAATATATCACCACCTCAAACCAGAAGCAAATCAATTACCATAACATCAGAGCCAACTGCACCAACCACCACTAACACCAATAATCCTGTTCCCGTTAATAAAATATCAAGCAAGGTTCCGGAGCCTCAAGAGTTTTCTGAGCCCGAGCCGCCACCTATTTTCATATCAAAAGTCGATAACTTCATTACATTTGGTCAAGAAATAGCCGGTCTGATTGGACAGACCAATTTCCGCTGTTTCTCCAGAGTTAATGATATCAAAATAAACACAAACTCTCGAGAAAATTACAAAGCACTTATAAATTACTTTACGTCCAAAAACTATGATTTTCATTGTTATCAATTAAGACAAGAAAAGCCATACCGAGTGGTGTTAAGAGGACTACACTCAAGCACCCCAATATCTTTAATCAAAAGTGGCCTAGAAGAAATAGGTCACAATGTTAGGCACATATCATGCGTACTACACCCAACGGAAAAATATCCTTTACCACTATTTTTCGTCGATTTAGAGCCTACCAGCAATAACATCGAAATTTTCCAAGTGAAGAGGCTTATATATTCCACCATTAAATTCGAAGAGCCTAGACAAAAGCCTATAATAGTGCAATGCACTAAGTGCCAAGACTTGGGGCATACAAAGACTTATTGTCATCACCAGGCCAGGTGCGTGAAATGTGCCGGCCCCCACGCATCTGACACTTGTCAGAGACCTCGAGACCTGCCTGCGAAATGTGCCCTTTGTGTTGAAGAACATCCAGCAAACTACAGAGGATGCAAAGTTTATAAACATTTTTATAAGCAGAGAGCTCTGAACATTGCCTCGAAAAGCGTAAAACTGAACCAAGAAAGTGTCACCCATCTACCTGAAATTGATAATCTGTCAAATTTTCCTGAATTGCCAAAAACGTCTACTCAAAATACACAGCTAGCGACTACTTCAAAAGAAATTGATCAACCTCAGCAGGACTTTAGAAAAACACCAATCACCATGAAGAAGCAGCAGCCTCAAATTCAGGCGCCTCAAATCTCCCAATGCAAACCTCAATCTCACAATCCCCAATCTCATCCTCCACGTCAGCAAATTCTCCCTCATCATATACCCTTACGAGTCAAATTACCACCGCAGCATCCTCAACAGTCCCATCCTAACGCCCAGAAAAAAAGTGCAGCACAAGTACCTTCCAATCTAGACCCACCTCGTGCACAACGACGGATCCCGCCCTCAGCAAACACTCCAAATCCACCACAAGAACCTATCCTGAATCCAATTCACAATCAACATCCATCCGACCTAACCTCCATTCTATCATCCTTCCTATTGGACCTGCAAAATACTATAAAACCACTTATCACTCTTCTCACCAGAATCCTGACCGAAATTCCGTTCAATTTCCAACGATGAGCACAAAGCCCCTAACTATCCTTTTATGGAATGCTAACGGACTAAGTAACCACCGTGACGAACTTGACTTATTTCTTCATAATAATCACATTGACATTGCTCTATTGACTGAAACTCACTTCACTAAACGAATACATTTCTACATACGTGACTACTTCACTTATAGAACTGATCATCCAGACAACACCTCCCATGCCGGTTCTTGCATCCTTATACATAAATCATTACCCCATTCCCTTATTCCTTCCACTCCAACTGATGCCATTCAATCAACTTCCGTAGTCCTTTCAACTCGCCCTTTCCATCTCACATTCTCAGCTGTATACTGTCCTCCTGGTAATTCCCTCTCCTATAACCTCCTTGATTCCTTATTCAAATCCCTCGGATCGCGCTTCATTGCTGGAGGGGACTACAATGCTAAACACCAACGATGGGGTTGTCGAACATCCAACCCCCGCGGTAACATCCTATCACGTGTTTCATCTTCCAACAATTATTCAATCCTTTCGCCCATGAGTCCTACTTATTGGCCAACATCCCTCAAAAAACGTCCCGATATCCTAGATATATTTATAACTTCTCAGATCTCCTCCTCACAAACCATAATCAAATCCCTTGATGACCTTTCTTCAGACCATAGTCCAGTTCTACTTTCACTACATTCGAGCTATGCTCCTAAACCATCACCTCCTAAATTGATCACAGGACGAGTGAACTGGGACCAATTTCGTGAAGATTTGGAAAACAAACTAGACTTAAAAATTCCGCTAAAGACAAAAGAGGACATTAATGGTGCCATTGAAAAACTGACAGCATCAATAACAGAAAGTATAAATAATAACACTTTTATCAATAAGTTCAACAATTCACAAAAGACTGACTTGCCACAGCATATTCGTATCTTATTGAAGGAAAAACGCAGAGCAAGATCGAAGTGGCATAGAACCAGATATCCAACAGATAAAACTCACTATACCCAACTGACTAACAAACTAAAATCTGAAATTAGAAAATACAAGATTCAAAATTTACTAAACTTTACTGAAAAACTTACACCTACCGACAAATCACTATGGACGACCACTAAAAGGCTCCTGAAATTTAAAGACTGTAATCATCCACTTCTTACTGAAGCTCAAACCTGGTCCAAATCCGATGAAGAAAAATCACAAATCTTTGCTCATCACCTCTTTAAAACCTTTAATCCACACCCTGATATTCATAACCCAAATCACCTTGAATGTATTGAAGCAGAACTGGATATCCCACTCCAAATGTCTCTTCCACCTAAAGCCTTTCATCCTTCAGAAATATCCGACATCATTCAAAGGTTACCTTCCCGAAAAGCTCCTGGACACGACCTAATTACATCCCAGATCCTAAAACTGCTTCCTCGGAAAGCCATCCTATTCCTTACGTATATATATAATGCTGTTCTGCGAACCACATACTTTCCTAACCCTTGGAAATTATCTATTATCAAAATGATACATAAACCCAAAAAGCCACCAGAAAACCCATCCTCTTATCGCCCTATCTCCCTTTTACCTATCCTAGGCAAAATCCTGGAAAAGCTCATCCTAAAACGCCTGCACCCCATCCTAGATTCTAATCAGATTATCCCAGATCATCAATTTGGATTCCGCAGATCCCATTCCACTATCCAGCAATGCCATCGTGTGGTGGATGTTGTCTCCTCTGCATTGGAGCGCGGAATGTTCTGCACGGGAGTCTTTCTCGATGTAGAACAGGCTTTTGATCGAGTCTGGCACCCAGGACTGCTTTACAAACTCCGTAAATTCCTACACCCTACATACTTCCTCATTATCCGTTCCTATCTAACTGATAGATCCTTCAAAGTAAATCATAATAATGCCTATTCATCCCTTTTTTCCCAGTCCGCTGGTGTTCCTCAAGGTAGTATCCTAGGTCCTATCCTTTACACAGTTTATACAGCTGATATCCCAACCCATCCTAACACTGTTATTACCACGTATGCCGATGATACATGTGTCCTATCAATTAATAACGACCCAACAATTGCATCCCAAACCCTTCAATCACACATCACAAACCTTGAAGAATGGTTTCAAAACTGGAGGATCAAAATAAATTCCAATAAATCCCATCAAATCACGTTTACCCTTCGTCGTAAACCTATGTCCTCTTGTCCTACAGTATCCTTTAATAATACCCCACTTATCCCTGTTGAACAAATTCGATACCTTGGACTCCACTTAGACAGACGTCTAACTTGGAATCCTCATACCAGACTGAAACGACAAGAAACAGCTCGACGTTTCCGACTACTCCAGCACTTACTAGACAAACGCTCTAAGCTCCCAGTCAATTACAAAAGACTCATATACATGACTACAATAAGACCTATTTGGACTTACGGAATTGAGCTCTGGGGCTCCACTAAGCCATCGAATTCCTCTCGCATCCAATCCTTACAATCCAAAATCCTTCGTAAAATCCTCACAGCTCCTTACTTTGTCACAAACAAAATCATCCATAACGACCTTAATGTTCCTTATGTTTCTGACCTGGCCCAATCCAGATACCTTTCCTTCCATAATAAACTTCAGAACCATCCTAACCCTCTCGTTTCTAACCTTGCTTCCTTTTCGATACCTGACAACCCTCCGAGGCGTCTGAAAAGAAGATGGCCTCGAGATCTCCTTTTGTAAATACATTTTTAGAGTGCTACCAGTGGGTAGTTTCTCACCAAATGATTTCATGTTATTATATTCTATTGTACACATTTACTGAATGTATTTTTACTTGTTATACAGTTGTAAATATCATTAATAAATAAATAAAAAAAAATAAAAATAATTTGATGTAATCATGATTTGGATGAAGTTAGAGCACTTACATGGAAGACTTTTTATTAAGTTTTAAAAAAGTCACAATTACACTCTGTAAGCCTATTTTTAACCTGGTGCAAAAATTCAATTAAATCAATATCATAAGATAAAAAAGAAGTTTTTAACATTAAGCTCAAGTTATATAATTCATCTTGTCATAATTGTTACATAATGTTTTTATTCTTCTAGCAGTACCTCTCTGTATATCTCTATATATTTTGAGAATCGACAAATTCTTTCCTGATTTTCTCAAAAAGTTTAAGTAATAACATACAGAAAGAGTAAATAAAATTGAAATAGAAGTCAATTGCTGTGTAAAACATATGTACATACATACATAAATATAGATATGATACGTCATTCTTCAGTTCCATGTGAAACATATATAAACATTGAAATCAGTTGAGCATCACCAACTCACTTGGCATATCTACAAACACTGTGCAGTCGACTAAATAAACATATTGTAATGAACAAGCTGTCCAGAACACCAAGTCTTTCTTTGTAAAGGACTTTTTTAAAGAAAGATCTCAAAAATCACATAAACCTCCAGTTTCATTATTAACAATTGCTATGACTGGAGGGTTATATCAAACATTACACTGCCTCATTATATTGTTGTCTTGTGCTAGATGCAGAAAAGCAAATATCATTCAAATAAAACGGAAATCTTAGAAATGTAAACTGATACTTTTTAAAGATATAAGTAGAAATGTAGGAACATATGTTACAGAAAGTGTTATAAGAGAAGGCAGAAAATGATATCACAATACTTTAACTCACCTAATGGAGTTACATTATACTGCATGATTATCAAAAGAATTAATTCTTTATCAACTTATAGAAATAAATCCTAATAAATGAGGAAGAATAAGCTATTATCAAGCTATCACTGATAGTACCATTGGGTGAGCCTATTCTACAAAAAAGTACCTCAGATGCTGATGGTATTATTCCTTAAAATATTACTAATATAAACAAAATATATTAACATATCATATCTCGCATCCTTCTCGCATGTTCAGTTATGCCACAGAAGTCTTTCTTAATGGTGAACAGGTGTTTGATAAGAGGCTGGCACCTGAGACTGCTGTATAAATTCCATAAATTTCTAACCCCTTCATACTTCCTCATTATCTTTCTCTATCTTACAAATATATACTTCTAAGTAAATCACAAGTGTATTCTCCCTCTTTGCTTAGTCTGCAGGTATCTCTCAAAGTAGTATTCTTGGTCCCATCCTCTACACAGTTAATACAGCTGACACCCCACTCCATCCTGATACAATTATCACCACATTCGCCAATGACACATGTTTGCTATCTATAAATAATTACGCTTTTATTGTTTGTTAGACTAGGCAAAACCATAGCACTGGTTGTTAGATTCGAGATGTGAACCATTTACCGCTAGGAACGCTTATATTATATAGGAACCATTATATGTAATCATTAGACAGACAAGAAACTGTCCTCACTGCCTGGATCACTTGTCAGTTTATATTGAAATTAACCCAGCTCTAATTATACCACCTAGGGTACTACCCTTTTTTGTTTTATTAATATTTTTCTTTTTTTTTTAATAAGTTGACTCCAAGGAGGTGGCATTAGTGTCAAGTATCAGGATCAAATTCCAGGCTACCTTTAAGAGTTTTTTCCCCCTTGAAGCTCCTCTTCTGGGGTACCTTTGTCCACCAAAATTTTCCTGTGAATGGTTTGGATTTTTGGGTATGGAAAAGCTTCTAACCAATTCAAGAACTATACTCCATTTAATTATTATTATTACATGTCTTTCTTTCATTTTCTTCCACAGTTATAAAAAATAAAATAAAAACAAAAAAAATATCCAAGCCCCACTTAAATTGTAAATCCTGGATCTTATACTTGTACATAAAGTAAAATGTATTAGTACACATTATTCATGGTAAACACATCCAGATCCTATTAAATATTTTTTGAGGGACAAACAAAGGTAATATTTTTTTTTCACATCTCGAAAAATCCTTAAATAAGAATTTACATTGGAATTGAAAAATGAAAATTTTTTGCTTAATATTTTGCCTTCTACTAATAGTTCTTATGAGATGCGTCTGTTTTCATATTTTTATTGTAGATATTATTCCTGTTATACAAAACATATTAAACATAGTGAAATGTTGAACAAAATATGTCATTTTTCAATTGCAATGAAAATTATCCCTTTATTTTGACAGGTATATAATATCTACAATATAAAAATAAATAAACGTGCATATCATAAGAACTATTAATAAAAGTGAAATATTGGGAAAAAAAAATATCATTTTTATTGCTACAAAAATTGTTATTTAAGAGTTTTTCGACTTATTAATAATACGAAAAAAAAATAAAACATAATTTTTACTATAAAAGAAAATAATACACAAAGCATGTCCTTAATAATATAATTAGAAAAAAAAAAATACCTGAAGTATTTGAGTTTGTGGGACCACTGTAACAGTTGTATCACCACCTTGGGATGCCATCTCCCACTCTGACTCTAAAAGTTAAAAAATAATCATTACTTTAAATCATTTAAATGTTTAAAAATTGAAAAGAAACATTAGTAAATATAATAGACAGAAATCAATTGAAGAAAAAATTGTTTAAATCTTTTTAAATTGAAGAAAATTCTTCAATATAGTTGATTTCATTTCTAATAACAAAACAACACATTTGATTCATAAGGCTTACTTTATTCTTTTTTTTCCTACCCTTTTAGCTCTTTAAGCTATTTCCAAGGGGAAAAAATTATTTTATAGTCATATTTTTTAGAGAATGCCGATGAAACCCATTCAGTTGGTTAATATAATAACTATATTTAATAAACAACAGATTGTTATAGGAAAACATATAAATGAAATCCATGAAATCAAATTAGTATTTTATCGTCATAATACAAAAATCTGGTGGACGCATGACACAACTTTCACTTACAACTCTACTTTCAAAAAAAATTATTTTCTGGCAAAATTGGGCTGTTAAAAAAGGTTTTAAAGAATACATTCATGAATTTTAGTCATATTTGTCAATGCAAAAAAATGACCATCACATGACATAAACTCAATTTAGTTATCTTCTTATTTTTATTTTTTTAGGAAGCTTCTGTGTATATATTTTTTTAAGGTTAAGGCAAATATACTTCCATTTTTCTTTAGTCTTTTTTAATAACATCTATTACATCTGACGTTTCGCGATAATTTTCCCATCCTCAGAGAATTCCTAATGTTTACTTGATTTTGTGATGTGGCACCAGTGGTCAAAAATTATAATAATTGTCATATCTATTTAAATATAATTCTTTTTGGTATTATTCACCAAAAACAAACAATAGGAAACTACTAGAAGTCATATACGTAACAAAAAATAATAAAACAGTAAATTATAAAACAGATACAAAACACTTAGGCACACTATTCGGACATAATATCCAATATTAAAATTCAAAAATATCAATAGACAATATAATCACAACAAACAGCCATAATGAGGAATAAGTGGACAGGTAGAAAGTGCAGTAATGGAACTGGAGGTAGCCAGATGTCGGTTGGTGTGATAATGAACAGAAAATGAATGTGTAACACCAAAAAGCATTATATTTAAATAGATATGACAATTAATGTAATTCAAGTCATCAAATCAAGTAAACATAAGGAATTCTCTGAGGATGGGAAAATTGTCACGAAACGTCAGATGTAATAGATGTGATTAAAAAAGATTAAAGAAAAATGGAAGTATATTTGCCTTAACCTTAGAAAAACTCAATTTATTATAAGCAGGTCAGGCAACAACAACCTTGTAACGTCATATTTGAACCACATAACTCTAGTCTCTGAGCTCTAAGAGAGATTTGAAAGGACATATATTTAATCTATGAATAAATAAAGATTTTACTACATAGTATAAATTTTAGAAATTAAATCTCATCCATGAAATATTTATTTATTCCACTTCTTCTTTGACACAAGTAAATAAAATAATTTCATTGGATTCAGTATATATTTCATTATACATTAATTTCATTATATATTTTCAAACTTGGAAATAATTCTTAAAATTTAAATTTAGATAGGAAATTACATTTAGTTTCCAAGGAAACGTTTGCTTTCTGTTAAATAATATAAATTTTCAGAAATTATTAATTATAATTTTTACTTTCACTTAGCTATAGATGTAATAATATGGTAAGGGTAAGTTTTGTATATATAGTAAATTTATATAGTAATAGTAAAATATAGTAAGATCGTGAAAATTTTCGAATCTCAGTTTTCAACATGTTTTGAGGTCTGTGATCAGCCTACCTCAAAAAAGAAAAGTTATACAAAACTGAAATTGCGTATTTCCTGCGTATAGATAGATAGATAGAAAAAAAACTTTATTCTGGGACTAAGTCCCTTCAGAATAACAATAATGTACAAAATAATAGAATATTACTGGCCTGAACGTTGAAACAATAAATAAAATTGATAAAATAAAATAAAAAGTAAAGAAAACCATAGGTGCACAAGCTATATACAATACAGATAAAACTATGTACAGAGCATTTAAAATTATGAATAAAACAATTAAAACTATGAACGAATCATTTGAACTATGAACAAAATTATATTTAAGGGTTGAACAACATAAACATACACTTTGAGAAATGAAGAACGAAAAAGAGATACAATGAGTTCATTTCATAAAAAAAAAAAAAACTTTACTTGAATATATATATGAAAATAAACAGTTACTTATAATTGAATAAAAAAAAAATACAAAAAAATGTATGTATTGAAATTCCTACGTCGATAGTAGGAAATGCATGTACTATCTCTTACCAAGTGTTATGATTATATGATTGCTACACAATACATATATAATATTAATCGTTAGCTGGTATCTGACTGTTTTTGGAACAGGAATTGGAATAGGAGGTTTTTGAATGTGTACAGGGAAGGGGCATGTCGAATTTTGATCGGGAGGGAATTCCAAAAGTTGACAGAGCGGGCTATAAAGGAATTTTGGAATGAGGCAGATCTATGAGAAGGGATGTATAGGTCGGAGGGTCGGGATCTTGTAGTGAGTGAATGGATTGAGGACTTAAATTGGAGAAGGTTGTAGGCATAAGAAGGACGATGATCGGTAATGATTTGATAAAGGAAAGTGCCAAGGAAATATTGTCTTCTTAAGGAGGGGAAGAGCCACCCTAACTCAGTGTAGTGGTGGGAGACACGGGAGCGTCTCGGGGTTCCGATTACAAATCTTACGAAGCAATTCATAAGTCTTTTGAGTCTATCACGCAGTTCCACCGAGAGGCCATCGTACACCACACAGCTGTAGTCAAAGTGGGGAAAGATGAGAGAGGAAACTAGGAGTCTACGGGTATTTTGGGGTAGAAGATGGCGGAAGTGATGGAATAGTTTGAGGGTAGAAATTGCACGGCGGGATATATGAGAGATATGGTGATTCCAGGAAAGGGTTTGATCTATGAGAAAGCCTAAGTTTTTAACAAAGGGATAGAAGGTGATGGGGTGGTTGTTTAGATAGAGTGAGGGAAAGTTGGTGTGGGATCTAAGAAGGGGCTTAGAACCAATGAGAATGGCCTGAGTTTTGGCAGCATTTAGCCTTAATCCATTTAAGTTGGCCCAGGCATTAATTCGATCTAAATCTTCTTGAATTTTGGCAAATGCCACCAATAACTCAGCGGGAGAAAAGGATAAATAGATTTGAGAATCGTCGGCATAAAGGTGGTGGGAACAATGGATAATTGTATCATTTAGGTCATTAATATAAGAACTGAAAAGAAGAGGAGACATGCTTGAACCCTGTGCAACTCCTGAGGATAAAGGAAGGTAGGCAGATAGAGGTTGATTAGGTATGGAAACTGCTTGGGTTCGTTGTGAGAGGAAAGACTGGAACCAAGAGATGGAACTCTTGGAGAAGGATAATGATTTTAGTTTGTTGAAAAGGATGGAATGGATAATGGAATCGAAAGCTTTAGAGAAATCAAGAAGTATAAGTATGGTTAGTTTTTTGTCATCTATTGCAGTCTGGATATCACTAGTAATTTTAATCAGAGCAGATTGTGTAGAGTAGCCAGGACGGAAGCCAGATTGGAGAGGATCGAGTTGGTTGGATTGTTCAAGGAAGTTGGAAACTTGGGATTGCACTAACTTTTCTAGGGGTTTAGAAAGATTGGAAAGGATTGATATTGGGCGGAAATCTTCGGGAGAGGATGGATTAGGCTTTTTGTTTAAAGGAAGGACAATGGCTTTTTTCCAAGAGGTCGGGAATATTGAATTCTGCAGGGAGAAATTGTAGATGAAAAGGAGTGCTGGGAGGATTTCAGGGAGACATAATTTTATTAGTTTGATAGGAATGCCATCTGGGCCTACGGAATTGGAACGGGATTTCATTATAACGGTAATAAGGTCTGTGGGAGAAATGTCGGAAAAATAAAAATTATTGTCGTTAAAAGGTACCTCTGGAGAAAAGCCGGAAGGGGATGGTAACGAAGAGGTGGAAACCGATATAAAGTGGGAGTTTAGGTCATCAGGTGATATTGGGAAAACTGAGGAAGGGGATCTAGAAGGTTCACAGAGGGAAAGCTTACGAAGTAGAAGCCATTTTGATTTGATATCAGGAGCTGAGGAAAGGGCTTCGTGAAAGTAGTTCGCTTTCGCTTGTCGGATCCTTGTCTGTGTCGTGTTGCGAAGCACTCTGAATATTTGATAATCATCTGCAAGCCTAGTCCGTCTGAAGCGTCTGCGTGCAGCGTCGCGTCTCTTCTGCAGATCCTTAATTTCCTGACACATCCAAGGAGCAGGACGATGACGGAAAGTGGAGGTTTTGAGAGGAGCGTGGGTATTGAGTATATTGAGAAGATTGGTGGTGAGAATATCAACCATGGTGTCGACAGAGGAGCAATGATATATTCCATTTAAATCCAATGTTACTAGATCAGGTAATATTTTTTCTCGAGTAAGGGTATCCAGTTGGCGGAAAGTGATAGTTCGAGGATGGATTGGAGGAGTGCAGATATTATACGTTATTTGTATCAGATCATGAGATGAAAGAAAGGATACTGGCACTTGAGAGGCGGAGAGGAGGTTTTGTGCTGAGTCGATGATGTAGAAGTCTAGCCAAGTGTCAGATCTGCTGGTGTGGTGGGTGGAGGAAAAAGGAACGATGAATAGGTGAAGTGAGAAAAACAGATTTTCTAAATAGGATTTGTCATTGGATTTTGAGAGGAAATTGGTATTGAGGTCACCGGAGATAATTATTCTGGGATAGAGGGGAACGAAGTTGAATAGAGTTGATTCGAAGGACGGGTCAAATGGCACGAGAGGAGGGCGATATACCACGGCGTAAAGGATAGGAGAAATATTACTGAGAATTTCTACTAAGAGATATTCTACATGAGGATGATCGGAAGATGGGGAGCAATCGAGGATTCGGGTCTTTAGGCTATTGTGGACAAACATGGCTACTCCACCGCCAGTCCGGTTTACCCGGTCA